GTGTGTGTGTGTGTGTGTGTGTGTGTGTGTGTGTCTGTGTGTGATATATTGTAAAATATAATGTATCCATGCCACATATTTTTTGTTATATTTCTAAAATACAGTGGTAGTATTTGTTTTTAATTGTGAAATTGATTTCATGCTGATTTAGATTTTTTTGATTAAAACATTTAAAAGTAATAAAGTTAAAATTAAATTTCTGAATTCTGACTTTATGTATGTCACTATATAAAAATAATTTTATTATATCATACTATTTAATTAAATATTATACATATTAAATATGATAAATAATAATATTTAATTTAATTAAATAATTATAGACACAGATAGATAGCTAGATAGATAGTGATAATAATGGTAATTTGTTTAATTGTTTGTAAAATAGATTCAAAATGTGGATTCTGATTAATTCATTATTATTTTAGTTTAGTTTAGCTACGTTTTTATTTATTTATTGTATTTTAGTTTTATTTTATTTTTAATTTTTTTATCGTGCCCAGACAGGATGATTTTCATTAAGTTGCAATAAAAAAGATTGTAAGAAAATAAGACTGTATAATATATCTAAATATGAGATTTTGATGAGAAATATACATTTAAAAAAATATTCTGACATCAGTATTTCATCTTTGAAAAATGTTCTTCTTTATGGTTGATTCTTCTCAGGTGTGCATTACTGAGGTGCTTTAGAGCTGAACTGAAGTTGGGCTGCATGAGGGCATTGAAGCATCTTATGAAAGAGATCTAATCAAATTTCTCTTTGCTGTAGACCATGTTTGTACGAGCAGGACACTGCCCAGAACCCTCTCTTCCCTCTGTATGTCCTGAGAGATGGAATGTGCTGGCTCAAACTAAAGCTTTTTCAGTGAAAAGAGAGAAACAAATTTCTCTTTTCGCTGCTTTTCTACATTTGTCAACCAAATACCAAATGTCTGCACTTTCTCACCACAGAGACCGCAATTAGATCTGGTTTTGTTGAGCATGAGGAGTGTGAACATTTAAATAATGCAGAAGTGCAGGCGATCACACACTTAACAACATGCATTAACATTGCATTAGTGCTTTTAGTGTAAAATGGAGAAGTGTAAGTTTGGAAGAGACAAGGGAGTTGAAGGATGTGCCTTTTAGGGCTTTTTAGGGAATAACATGTTGTTTCATTAACTAAAACTAAAACCATAAAAAAAATTGTTACTTGGAAAAAACCTTAACATTTCTCATTTTTATTTGGTTTTACTAAAATAAAATCATTTGTTATTTATAAAACAAATTAATGAAAACTATATAAACATTGTTAAAAGACAAAAAAAAGACAAAACACAACAAAATAATTGAAACAAACTAAAAATGAAAATAGAAAAATAAAATCTAATTTAAATATTGACAAAAACATATTGTTATTAACTTATCGCTGACTAAAACTAAAAACATTACAAAGCTAAAAATTGTAAAAAAAAAAAAAAATAGTTACTTACATTTTTTTTAAACAAATGTAAAATAAAAATTAAAAGACATTTTTTTAAATTAAAAACGAATAAAAGTGAGAAAAACATATCACTTCTCTGATTATTTTTAGTTATGGAGAATCTCATAATTCTGACAATTTATAAGGAAATTGGACCAAACGAGAACTTAAAATGAACAGGAAAAGTTGTTATAACTCGTTTTGCTTTCTGATGTAATCTGATGTATTTTACTTGATTTTATCCATTACTATTGTTTGGATGATGAGAAGTCGTCTCTGACAGGTGCTGAAGGAAAGAGGTTGCTTTCTTAAAGAATATGTTTTAAGAAAGTAAAAGGGGTCAAATTTAATGTCAAGCCAATTTTAAGCCTGCCAGAGTGAACTCTTCATATCCCGACTTGATCCCTTTTTGGAGATGGCAGCCTTTCAGAGCACAAAACACATATGCTTCTCTTACAACCTCTTTAAACAGCTCGTTCAGCATGGAGTGCCCAGTGCTGCTTTATCTTCTCTTCCTGTGCAGGAGCTGCTGGTGTTGTGTTCGGCTCTTTGATTGGTTCTTCCAGTCCTCTGACCCTTTGGAATGCTGAGAATTCCTCATCCTGCCCTGCTCAAGTGGACCTGCCGTGGTTGCAGGTTGAGACAGGACCGAAACAGAGGCAGAGCCGCTTGGGAACCTGCTACCTCTCAAAGAAAGGAGGATTACGGCTCTATTAGAGGCCTGCAAACCAGACAGACAGACATGCATTTTGCGCCTCAGAGAGAACTTTGAAAGCGCGCTGCAGGAATCTCAAGTGAATGCTCGCCAGCCATATAAATGCAAAGCAGTAAGCTCATTGGCTGCATATGCAGCATGAACCAATCAGCTTGTGCCAAGTCGTTTAACTCTCTGAATATCATCAGTTACGTTAACACCCCATCAGAATGCGCCATCTAGAGTTTCATGACTGAACTATATATTTATCATTACAGTTACTGTTATAATATTCATTCTTGTTGTGAACAGGTAGTTTTATTTTGACTGAAGGTTTATTTGCATCTTATTCAGAATGATGTCAGTCTTTTAAGAGATGATGCATTATTTTGTGTAACAAAAATAATGAAAAACACCAGACAAGCATCTGTTGTTCTAAGAAAGTGTTATACATTTTCTGACTCGGGAGTTGTGCTTGTCCATTTAGAATTTGTCAGCATGTTCCTATATTGTTTATTTTGTTGCTAGGGTGTTACTAAATGGTTGCTAGGTTGTTCTGGATGATTTTGTAGTAGTAATTATTCTAACAGCATTAGTGATTCACAACATTTGGGGCTGAAGTCTGTTTTACAGATCATCATAAGCTGAGCTGTAGTGTATCTGGCCATCAAAAGACCCCTGTTGGGAACATCATGAAGTCCTCACCGCTCTGAGCAGATTATATCAGATGAGAAGGAGTGAAGGTGTCTCATGCATAAGTGAAAATGGTCACCCAGGGAGCTGGATACTTCTGCTTTTTCGCTCATCATTACTCAAAGCTCTCAGGAAACGTAATATAATGGGCCCACCTTTCAACACATACAGGAGAATACAAATCAGATGACCCC